CCCCCAAAATAGTATAGGTAATCATTTAGGCTTTTGTAGTATCCCACTCATTCAGCTCCCGAGTCTTGATGAAAGGATCCGGTTATCTGGGGTCTCAGCCAGGGCGGACCTAAGAAGGGACCCTACTTGGAGGCCCAGGGGACTTAGTAAATCGGTTATAAGTAGAGATATAATTGAAATAACTCCAGTTAGGGTGCTTATAACTCTACTTATAACCTACTTACTAAGTCCCCTGGGCCTCCAATTGATTTGCAGTTGCAGTCTCGAAAGCTGATCGCCGACATCGCATGAGGGGGGTTCTATACATTGGGGCTACCTTTAGGTAGAGCGCCTGAAAAAGAATCCAAGCTCTACTCAGAACTTGAGAGCCTTGCATATCGTGTAACCACCCTGCAGGGATGCTTCAGTCCGAAGTTGGGGTCGAACATATTTTACACAACAACAACAACAAAACAAAAACAATTGGAAGGCTTGGCAAAGTGCAAACGATCCTTCCATTACCGACACCATCCGAAACCTCAAACCCTAAACCCTAACTCAAAAGCGCGATCAACCCAAAACAGCTTGTTCACGCCACCCGGAACCCGGAGCTGGGGCATGATAGTTCCCACACTGTGGTTGCTCAGTCCATTGTTTAGGAGTTCGGGTTTAGAGTTTAGGACTTTGGGCTTCGACACACACACACACACACACTCGCACGAAGCTGGCATGGCAAGCAGGTTTAGGGTTTAGGTTTTAGGGTTTACGATTTCGGGTTTAGGGTGCTGGTGTTGTTGTTGTTGGCGTCCTAGGGCTCAAATTCCTTCCGGTTTTAGGCGACAAGTCTCGCGTTTAGAGTCTGGACCAATGTAGAAGCATAAATAACTGGAATAGGGTGTCGGGGCTACTGTAGCATCTTTTTTTGCATAATGACTGGCTATACAGAATAGCTGTTTACAAGCAGAATTCTGTTGCTTTTTGTCAGGCACCGAAATGGGATGTTGCGCAGGCTGCCTTCGGAAGCCAACCCGTTGGATGCGTGACCCTGATTCTGGCTGCGTGCCGTAAACTCTCAAACCAAACCGCCCGACAACAAGCTCTACACCCCACCAGGCACAACCCTAAACCACCGTAGACCCTAAACCCTTAGAAGCCTTAGACCACCTTAAACCACCATAAAACTTCTCAAAACCAGGCAGCAGCTGCAGAAGTGGAGTTTGCGTCCTTTTGGAGGGCCGATCAACCTGACAAGGTTGCAGGGGTCTTCAAAAGGGTTTATGGGTTTAAAGGTTTAAGGCTTTAGGGTCTAGTTTTTTGTGTGAAGGCCCTTTTCTCCATGATACAATCGGAGCACCAATTCGGAGGAGCCATGAATGTGCCTCAATGATCTCCTTGACTGCAAGACAATGTAAGCATACACCGGCATTAGGTTTTGGGGTTTATGGTTTTGGCTCGGGTTCTTCAAAACCTTAAGCTACCATAACCTACATGTTTATAGGTTCTTATCGTGAACCTTAACATATAGTTTTAAGTTTATACGGACCTCCTTGTAACACCCGTGTATTGCCTTTACAACCGCCCTGCAAAGAGGCTCCACCACCGTATAGCCCTAAACCCTGAACCTAAAACCCTAAATCCTAAACCCTGAACCCAAAACCCTTAACCCTGAACCTAAACCCTAAAGCCCTAAACCCTGAACCCAAACCCTGAACTCTAGACCTTGGGTCGTATGGACCCTTAACCCTAAACCCTTCCGTAACCTACCAAAACCTCATTTTTTTGCAGGGTTCGAGGATGTCGCTGTAATGATTACGACCTGCTAAACCTTGAAGACACAGCTCTGCAGTTCAGGTCAGCATCCGAAAGCCCTTGCCAAATCTTATAACATTAGGGTTTGCAGTAACCAGGGAGAAAACTGTATAGACTCTTGTTTCAAAATGGTCCCCTTAAGGAACAGGTCCCAAAAAAAGTATTCAAGTATGGTACTCCAGAACCCAGCATTAGAGCGGAATACTTCAGTCAATAACATTTAGCAGCCCCACCCCGGTTGGCTCGAAACGTCTGCCCTCTCAAGCTACAACCTCCGGACCGCACACCACCGAGGCGCCCCAGCCACACCCCTACAGTAACCCTGATCTCCCCTTAAAGGAACTCCCCAAAACTTGACTAAACCCTAAACCCTAACACCTTAAAGGAACCCCCCCAAAAAATGACTAAGCCCTAAACCCTAAACCCCTTAAGGGAACCCCCAAAATGGACTAAACTCTAGACCCACCACTGGTACAACCTAAACCTTAAACATCGCCAAGCTCACATCTTCTACTTCCAAAACGGAGGGAACCCCAAATTCGAAGTAGCATCCCAAAAACAAGACACCTAAACCCAAGAACTGAGAAGCCTGAAGTTAGATTCCCCGAAAACCCGACCCCTAAACCATAACAAACCTAAACCGTAAATTTAGGGTTTAGGGTTTAGGGGTAGAGGGTTAGGGTAAACCCTCCAAAACCTAGAAACCAGAAACAGACTGTAGCAAAAACATCGAACGGAAGAGCAGGAGCCTCTTGGGGCACTGGCCAGAAACCTCCAGGGAACCAGGGCTGGTTTAGGGTTTAGAGTTTAGGGGGTTTCGGGTTTCGGGTTTTAGGGTTTAGGGTTTAGGGTTTAGGGTTTACTTGGAGGCCCAGGGGGCTTAGTAAGTAGGTCATAAGTAGAGATATAGTACCCTAGCTGGAGTTACCCCAATTATAACCCTACTTATAACCGACTGAACATAGAGTATGTAATGGATTGATGAAGCTTCTACGGGATTCAATCTTGGGTTTGAAGAAAGGGATTCTAAAGCGCTATATTACATGCAGGGTTGCTACCCCGAGGTTCCACAGGGTAAATTGGTACTTTCGGACTATATAAGTCTGCTGAAAGCCTTCTTCACTGTTACTTCTAGGGTTTATGCAGGTTCTGTAGGGCTTGAGACAGTCTTGAAGGGTATGCTTTGAGTTGTTCCACCCCGCAAAGGGGCAGCTCTTTGCACTCTGCTGCACCCCAATGCAAGCCGTCACCAACCTTGCGGCTTAGGACGTAGAACTCAAGCTTCAAGGTTTCGGTGTTTGTTACATAGGCTTGCCTGCATTTCGTAGGTGGGGAAGTTGAAGGTACTACAGGCATGACAGAACTTCCAGTTAAGTTCGGGCATGACTTCCGCAGCAGCAGCAGCACGCCGTAAGTGTTCTTCCGGACTGCATGACGTCAAAACTCGCATTTGGTGGGCTGATGCTTTGTAGTTGCCTTGCTGTTCGAAGCTCTAAACCCTAACCCCCGAAGCATGCTCTGCGGTTTTGCTAGCCTAAAACCCGACAACCAGCCCCGCCTGTAACCGCAGCAAGCTCCCTCATCTGCCAGCAATCCATGGCCAACAGGTTTGCCCCCGGGTCGGCAAGCTGCTGCAAAGTGGCAAAGACTGAAGTGACTTAAGCATCAGCAAACTACTCAATGTTCCAAACACAGAATGAAGTTTGATAAAAGGACCAAGGTCGAGGCTTAAACGGATCCCTTTCCCGAACAAATTTTAACCTAAACCCATCGAAGTTAAAGAACATCGTGATACCCGATACCCTATTATTCTGATTATTAAGGCTCCTATATCTTCGTCAATATACATCTGCACAATCGGCCAACCCCTGACCCGGCTAAAGTTTACAGTGCTTTGAGCAAAGCTTGGGGGTCAGAGTCCAGGGATTAGAACTTTAAGTTAAAACTATGGAAATCTGACAGTTTTTAGTGTTTAGGGTTTGTTTTAACCCTAAGAAACATGTGCATAGAGGAGCCTGGAGCGAACATGGACAGCGCGTTTGCTTCCTGGGCCTCACCATCCTAAGCGTGAGTGGGTTCAGGGCTCGTTTAGGTCACTACGGGTAAGAACGGTAAAAACTGACGGATCCCTGAGTGTCTGAAACCACCAGTCCTCTGGCATCATGGCGAGATTCTTCAATAGTTCGTGACAGGTAGATTCACAAATTTTGGGCGGGAGTTGACACCCTCAATCTTCAACGCCTGTTTTGTCGAGAACTCGCAATGTTGCTGCTTTGTCTGCTTCCGCCTTTCCGAAGCGAGACAGGCTGCGAAGGGGCATCTTCAAGAATTTGGACATTGAATGAAACTCCACGAATAAGATCCTTGATAAGAGCCCTTCAGAAGAATCCAAGATAGGATCGCTATCGTAGGGCCGCCGAGACCCGCCTAGCCCCCTTTTGCTTAGGCGCGTGTATGGGGGCCTCATCTTGGTCCCCTATTTTCCGAACCTGCAAAGCCGCTACGAAGCTGTACACCTCAAGATTGACCTTCTTGATATAGAGAGGGAGAAAGCATCACCATACAGCGACCACAGTGGATATTGCTACTTATTCATCAAACGTCTGCATTATAGCCTTGTCCCCTGATAGGAACCCACCAAAGTACCCGCACTTTTTGATCGCTTCTTTACACCATAAACTCGAAACTCTAAATATCTCTTTGAAGGACAGCCCCGGTACGTCACCCGGCTCTAGCAGGTGATCGGCAGAGGCTTTCGCCCATTGCAAAAGGCTCGCAGAATGCTAGGGTTCAGGGTTTAGTTTAGGCTTTCGGGTCCAAGGTTTTAGGCCTTTAGGGTGGAGCTTTCGGCGTCCAGGGTTTGCAAGTGTGGGGCTCTAGAGACTCTAGATTCGCAGTTCTAGCCTCAGCAAGGTCATGCTACCTTGAACTTCCTGGGCGCGGGTTAGGGATGGTAGGGGTTTGGTGTCCAGGATTCAAGTGAAACAGCTCTCCCGAACAAGGACGGCAAAGGCAGTCCTGACTCAGAGCCTTAAAGCGCCGTGTCCAAAGCTGATACAGGGGCCTTCATACTTGCCTGAATATGGCATACGGTTCTGGGCTGGGAGTATACTGTAGTCAAGTATGTTAGACTGGGGCTTTACGTAGTGTAACATCAACATACTAAGGAGCCCGAAGGCCCGAAGGAATAATGTTGGCAATTGTTCCGGCCCCTATACTAGCCCGGCGAGAAGCGGCAAGGGAGCCAGGAACGGGGAAAGCGGCTGAGCGCTTGATGTCGGAACCCACGTCGCTTTGCGTAAGCACTCGTAGCCTGCGCAGGAAGGCAGCAAAATACAGAGACGAATGCCAAGCTTGGGATGTATGGCGACTAGCTAGCAGCCCGCAGTGACCCTTTTGCACATTGCAAAACCTGCGAAAAAAAAACCAACACTTTCGAACTCTAGCGATCACCTGACAGGTTTGACTGCCAAGAACATACCGGACCCAAAACTAGATCTTGACTAATAACTGGGATCCATGCTATCCATGCTAGAACGACCATCTGAGCTGCATAAGCCAAGATTGCTGAAGAGGCGTATGGCCCTCGAAACATCCTATTGAACAACGGGCTCACAAGCAACTCTGTATGCATAAGTTCAAAGAACGCCAACATCCCTGAAGTAACTAAGCAAACCACATTGTAGAACGCATTGTGCTTTCAAGGGGCGCCGTATCTATGGCGGCGTCTTGCTAATCTTGCTGCAAACACAGGCAAACCAGCTTGATTTGATTTTACGAAAGACTATTACTACTTCCAAAAAATCCCTTTTGCAACAGGCTTCGTACTTCGCCAGAAAATCCCTAAACCCTAAACCTTAAACCCCAAACCCTAAACCCTAAACCCCAAACCCTAAAGCCTAAAACCCCAAAACCCCGAAACAAGGCTCCGACACCACGCGCTCCGAGCCCGAAGCTCTACAGTTCAGTGCATGAAGTAGGGGCCAACAGAACTGGAATAAGTTATGCATAGGGGCTTAGGGTTTAGGGTTTAGAGTTTAAGGGTTGAGGGCTAGGGTTTAGGGTTTATAGGGCTGTTATTCGGGTTTCGACTCACACACTCGCACGAAGCAGGCATGGCAACGAGACCTCTAGCACGCTGCTGTGCTGATTCCAAACAACGCGAGCGCCCCTGCTTACCTTTCGATCGCCGCCGCCATTTGCGGAGCTCGCAACACAAGTTTTGCGTGTGCCGCAGGAGCCACCCACCAGGGATTGCCAATCGGACAAACCTGCCCAGAGGTCTGGCTTCCATCCGAAACTCCTGCGCACCGCCCGCAGCAGCTGCTCGTCCGACTTCGCAGGCTGCTTCCAGAATGGGGCGCACCATGGCGCGCCCCCGCACCCACAACAGCGGAGTCTTCCTTGGCTGCCGGTCCTACCCAAAAACATCTTCTACGCCGATACACCGGAGTACTGTAAACCGAGTCTGCTTTACACACAAGACTTAAAAATCAAAAGAAACTGTGCATTTGTACTTTAACTACTCGCAGGATAGAGTCTTCGCCCATGCGATGAGACAACCAAATGTCATGAAGCACCAGCTTCCGCAAGAAGGGGTTGTGAACGTCCAAGATACGCTTCAAGGTCTCATTGTTCACCCCCACTCGTGCAGCCTTTTCCCACGCCCCAGCTTTGGTCAGTTTGCCAAAAACCTCGCCAACCTATGCCGGAATGCTTCTGCCTGCGAACTTCAGGTTATGCTGGTAACAGTACGCCGACCATTGCTGCAACCGCATTAATGGAACGGCGCTGTCTACCTGAGCATTCCTGAAGACGCCTTTCCAGTTCCTCTTGTTCCTATGCCTCAAATCCCACCGGGCCGCCTTCAAGTCCTTGAGGCCGCCGTCGTAGTTGGCCATAAGTTTGGTCGCCCAGGATCGTGCGAGAGCGTGGGGCAAGGACACTTTGGCACTCGCCACCAACGAAGACAAAGAAGTTGAGTCCAAATCGGGATCTACCTGACACCGGCGGTGAGTAGCCCAAGCTGAGTGACTCAATACATCGGATGCCATTCTTGCCTCCGCAGCAATGTCTGGCGGCATCGAGCATCCGGGCCCAAATAAAAAGGTGCCGTAGTCGCTGGTTGCGGGCAGACGAGTACACTGCAATAGGGCGCAATAGGCGTGTGGCCATTCCTTCGTGGTCATTGGAGCGCCAGACCGCCCGGGCGTGAGTGAACAAGCCAGCACGCACCATGTGAGGGTCTGAGCCCACGCATAGCTGGGACAGACATGGGCCAAGCAACTGATTAAACTCGGCGTAGGTAAACCTAACCCTGATCTCAATTGCCCCAAAGACCCAGTCAGACCAAAACCACCCACTCTCATCCAACAACACGAGTTCGAGATCACATCTTTGTCTGCGCGAAGCAGCGTCCAAGATAAATCTGTCCAGGCATGAATAGCCATCCCTGACATCGAACGGTCGGTCAGTAAACTCCATGTCGCTTCGTTCACCAAGTCAAAGAAATCCTCGATGTCCATGAGGGACGTGATCGCGTAGAATCCTGCGTAGCAAGACCTCATGGTCGCCAACAAATTACCATCTTTTCACACAAGTCGGGCCGCTTGAGCCAGAATGGCAGGCAGAAAGGGCTCAGGGGTTAGTGTGAAACGAGAAGGGCCCAGAGAGGGACGACATGGGGCTTGCCCTTGCTCCCGAGGCCACATAGCTTCGGACCAAATGCCTTGCACGTCACATCTCGATTTGTACACAAATCCCTCTGGTTTCACACTGGTTATAAAGAAACCCTCCATTTTTTGGAGGTTCAAGCGTGGCTGTGTAAAGCCCGCTTGACGCATAATGTGGACTCTCTCGTTCACATTGCCGAGCTCGGCCCAGGCCCAGTTGCAGAGGTAAGGGAACAAGCTCATTAGCAGTGCGGGGTATTGCTGTGCTGGCGTCTTCTCAAAAGCCTGCCGACCCAGGATCAAACCGACGAAGGCCAAGATGGAACCAGTGGCACACTCGGGAAGCGACTGGTACAGCGCGACATACACCCCCCTGAGCAGCACGATGAAGTAGAGGATGCCGTCGATGAGGCTGTATGCGAGCTTGGTGCCCAGATTCTTGTGGATCGGATGGCCGATGAACACGGTAGTGGGATAGAAGGAGCCGAAG